TAAAAGAGCTGAACAGAAGATTTCAAAGAGCAGCACCAGAAGACAACGTCAATTATTATAATGAAATGTGCAAAGACCTGGAGTTAGAAAACCAAAAGGGAAGAACATGCTTGGCATTTCTCAAGCTGTAAGAACTGAAGAAAAAATTCAAGCCTTGAGTCACAATATTGAAAGATTTTATAGGCAAAATATTGAATGATGCAGAAAATATCAAGAGAAGATAGAACACACAGAGGAGTCACTGTACAAAAAGAACGAGTCGATCTTCAAATATTTTAGGAGGTAGCATAGGATCAAGGACCAATGGTACTGAAGGAAGAAGTCAAAGCTGCAGTGAAGGAATTGGTGATAAACTAGTCTCCAGGAATTGATGAAATACCCATTGAGATGTTTCAACAAATGGATGCTGTGTTGGAGGCACTTACTCATCTACACTAAGAAATTTGGAAGATAGCTACCTGGACAACTGACTGGAAGAGATCCTTATTTGTACCTATTCCAAAGTAAGTGTGGAAATTATCAAATAATATTATACACAAGTAAAATCTTGAAGATAAATCAAAAAATGGTTGCAGCAGTATATTGACATGTAACTTCCTGAAATGCAAGCTGGATTCAAAAGAGGAACTGAAAGAGGGATATCACTGCTGGTGTCACATGGATCTTGGCGGAAAGCAAAGAATACCAGAAAGATGTTTACTTGTGTTTTATTGACTTTACAAAAGCATTCAACTGTGTGTATCATAAAAAATTATGGATAGCATTGAGAAAAATGGGAATTCCAGAACACTTCCTTGTGCTCATGAGGAACCTGTACATAGACCAGGAGGCTGTTAATCAAACAGAGCAAGGGGATACTGCATGGTTTAAAATAAGGAAGGGAGTGTGTCAGGGTTGTATCCTTTCCCCATACTTATTCAATCTGTATGCTGAGTAAATAGTCCAAAAAGGTGGACTACAGGAAGAAAACCAAGGCATCAGGATTGAAGGAAGGCTCATTAATAACCTGCGATATGCAGACGACACAATCTCGCTTGCTAAAAGTGAAGATGACTTGAAGCACTTACTGATGAAAGTTAAAGACTACAGTTTTCAGTATAGATTACACCTCAACATGTAGTAGTAGTAGTAGTTATTTGCCGTGGAGTCGGCCCCGACTCATAGCGACCCCTCCTTGGGTTTCCGAGGCAGTATCACTACGGAAGTAGGATTGCCCAACCTTCCTTCCGAGGAGTGGCTGGTGGATTTGAACCGCCAGCCTTCTGGTTAGCAGTCAAGTGCCTTAGCCACTATGCTACCAGAGCTCCCACACACCTCAACATAAGAAAACAAAAATCCTCACCACTAGACCAATAAGCAACATCACATTAAAAGGAGAAAAGATTGAAGTTGTCCAAGATTTCATATTACTTCATTCCACAATCAACACCAATTGAAGCAGCAGTCACAAAATCAGATGACACATTGCACTAAGCCAATTTGCTGCAAAGACCTCTTCAAAGTGCTGAAGAGTAAAGATGTCTCTTTGAAGACTAAGGTGTGCCTACCCCAAGCCATGGTATTTTCATTCACTTCATATGTATGTGGAAGCTGGACAATGAAAATGGGGTTGGTAAAGAATACTGAAAATACCATGGACTGCCAGAAGAACTAACAAATCTGTTCTGGAAGAAGTGCAGCTGGAATTCACCTATTTTGGTCATCTTGTCAGGAGGTACCATTCTCTGGAGGAGGACAACATGCTTGGTAAAGTGGAGGGCCAGCGAAAAAGGGAAGTCCCTCAATGAGATGAATTGATATGGTGGCTACAACAATGGGCTCAGGTATAGCAAGAATTGTAAGGTTGGTACAGCACCAGGCAGTGTTTTGTTCTATTGTATATACTGTCACTAGGAGTTGGAGGTAGCTTGACAGCACCTAACAACAACCACCACCACCACCATTAGCTTAATGATTTGACAACACCTATAATTAGTATTTCTTGAAATGTGATCTCTATATCATCCACATTAGAATTTTCTGGATATATTTCATAAGCATGCACATTGCTTGGAGCCATCCTTAACCTTCTAATCCAAATTTCTGGTGGTAGGCATCCAGCAAGGATATCTCCTTGAGGACTAAGGTGCGCCTGACACAAGCCATGATATTTCCAATCACCTGGTATGCATGTGAGAGCTGGACAATGAATAAGGAAGACCGAAGAAGAGTTGATGCTTTTGAGTTGTGGTGCTGGCGGAGAATGCTGAAAGTACCATGGACTGCTAAAAGAACTAACAGATCTGTCCTGGAGGAAGTGCAGCCAGAATGCTCCTTGGAAGCAAGAATGGTCAGACTTCGTCTCACCTATTTTGGTCATGTTGTAAGAAGGGATCATTCCCTGGAGAAGGATGTCATGCTTGGTAGGGTGGAGGGTTGACGAAAGAGGGGGAGGCCTTCAACGAGATGGATTGATACGGTGGCTGCGGTGATGGGATCAAGTATAGCAGGGATTGTGGGGCTGGCGCAGGATCGGGCAGTGTTTCGTTCTGCTGTGCATGGGGTCACTATGAGTCAGAAATGACTCGACGGCACTTAACAACAACAACAACAACAGGCATCCAGAATGTGCATTTTATAAAAGCTTACTTGGCAACTCTATGCACCTTTATCTCTGAGAACCACAGTGCTATATATTCTATGCTAGTACTTAAACAGGAGCTCTGGTGTGTAGTGCCCAAAGCACTTGACTGCTAACAGAAGGCTGGCAGTTCAAACCCACTAGCCATTCCTTGGAAGGAAGACTGGGTAATCTACTTCCATAGAGATACCCAAAAAATCAAACTCACTGTCGTCAAGTCGGACTTGACCCATAGTGACCCCTCCTTGGGTTTCTGAGGCACTGTAACTACAGAAATAGATTCCCAACCTTCCTTCTGAGGAGTGGCTTGTGGGTTTGAACCTCCAGCCTTCTGGTTAGCAGTCAAGTGCCTTAGGTCACCAGAGCTCCTTCCTCAGAGAACTGCCTTGGAAACCCAAGGAGCGGTTGCTATGAGTCGTGATTGACTCATAATCACAATCGACTCCACGACATTGAGTTGAGTACTTAAACAGCTCTTTTTAAATTACACTTTAAAATTCTGTTATGTGGCTTCTAAGGGGAAATTTTCAGTGAAACTTATAAAATAAATTTCCTGTTGGAAACTTTCTCCTGATAAGCAGTTTTCATACTTGAGAGAGTTTAAAACACCATGTGAATTACAGTAATTATGTCATAAAATGAGAATAATTAGTCTGTACTTCATAATCTACGGCTCTTCACCTATATCACCTTAAATCTAGTGGTAGAATCCACAGTTGGAATTGCCCTTTTCAGTAGCTTAAAAATGAATATAAAATTCACCTGGTAGGAAACTGTCAAAATAAATTTTGTTGGTCTTTGAAAGATCTCACTGTTAAGCACTTAAGGAAACACTCTGTCTTTGACTTCTGTAAGAATCTTTAACACTTTTAGTTGTGGTCCCAAATAAAATGTGATGCTTCTAAGTTATATAATAATAGGAATTTATTTTACACATTAAGGAAATATGCTTCTTGTTCTTCAAATTTGGCATGAGGGGCATTAATTAGAAGGGCAAGGACTTGCTACCCATATGCTTTCATATTTTGCCTCTTGCCATTCGTTTTTCTTTAACCGAGAAACGAGGTGCAAAGGGATGACTCTGAGGCCTCACCTGTATGTGGATGGTGTGCTCAGAGCAACTCTGTGCTTGTTTCACTACCGTATTCTTCTGCAGGAACCTTTCATTATTTTCGTTAAATAATCCCCTGGAGGTCACTCTGGATGAAAATCGATCTGCATCGAGGGTGACGTTGTATGTAATAGCTATGATGAAGAAACCATACAGAAATATTAATACAGAAGAACTTCAAGGAAAAAAAAATCCCTGCTTTATTATTTTATTGGACAAAATCTCTGACAACAAAATGTAAAAACAGACTTTCCATTGGTGTGTTGTGAACTGTGGGTAGCACCATGTGACCTTTGTATTCCTAGCTCTGATATGATGAAAGGGTCTGTGGATACAAAGAAATGTGATTCAAAGATCTGTGGCTTGGAACACTGGAAAGAGGTCTTGTTACCAGGAAACCTGCTGATTGGGCATATGACTCCCTAAACATAAGTTTCATCATCCACACTATGAGGCTATGGAAAGGAAAGGAACAGTTACTGAGTATCTACAATTGGACACATTTTGACACACCAAAAAAGTTTTATGATAACCCCAGAAATTGGACGACATTGTCCTATTTTTCAAAGAATGAACCAGAGTAAAAAATGTAACAACAACAACAACAAAAAATTGCCTAAATTCACTAACTAGGATAGGGTCAACAATAATATCTGGCTATTTCTGAAATCAGATCACACGTTCTTTCTATTTCCAAAAAGGTGTGAGGATTAACTATTTTTGTGAGAATTAAGTGAGATACTTCAAGTGAACATGCAAAATGCCTGGTATATTCTAGATGTTTGCATAGAGAAAGGCATGGGACATTGTAGCAATAAGGTTTGAATTTAGACAAACTTGGTTTGAATCCAAATTCTTCCCCTTGTGGGTTGTACGAATTTGAGCAATTTGCTTAACCTTTTTGAACCTCCATTTCCTCATTTGTAAAATGAAGACGATAACAACCAAGGGAAGTGAAAATGAAAAAAATAAAATTATGTGATAAAAATTGATATGTGTAGTCAATGTTCTCAAGCTATCAGAACTGCTACTGACTGCTACTAACCAAAGTCTGCTGGCCACGTGTCCAAAAATGAGAGAGTGAATCTGTTGCTATTCACAGTAACTACTGCTTTATTTTGGGTTAAGGGTTGAACATACTTCTAGAAACATTAATTCCACATGTTATCTTTAAAATATTCATTACCAGTCTTGTCTAACTCTTCTTGTGCCAGTGACTTAACAAAGCTTACAAAGAAGGATAAAATATAAGAAGATCATATGAGCTAAAAATAAGTTGAAAATGATGCAAAGGAAAAATAATGGTAAGGAAGTGACTGTAGCTAGGAAAAAGTTAGGATGCAGGAAAATACTTTTTTTTTTTTTTTCAAACAGCTTGTCAAAAATTATTCGGTCTCACAGGCAAAATATTTTTTTAATGTCATTTATTTTAAACTGGAATGTTCAGCTGATCCAATAAATAAGAGACTACATGCTTCACAAATTCATTTTTCAGAGTTGTAAAGTTGGGATTCATGTCTTCCACACTATTATTGCCAAGCAATTAAGTAACACATGACTATGATGGTTTCTCTGTGTAAACCTGGAGGTATTAAAAAAATGGATTCAAAGGTAAGTGTTCAAACAGCAAGAAACCCAGAGGTCCTAAAGAGCGAGTCAATGGGAAGAAAATCTTTTGAAGGTAGAAAGCCCCTTTGAAGGTAAGGCAACAGAAGAAGTACAGTCAAAAAATGGAAAATATACGAGACCATCCATACTTCAGGGGCAGGAGTGCCAACCAGTCAGGCATTTCTACCAATATATTTTCAAAGTTGATTTTTTAGGCTGACCAACTACTTAATGTTTATACAGTGACGTTTTTTGACACAGTTATCATGGCTACCCAGATTAATGGGCTACAAGGCAGTTCTGTGAGATATGCTAATCAAAGTTGGGGCAATGTTTGAACACCTGCAAGGAAAAATTCTAGATGGATATGAAAGGAGGAAAATACAAATAGCATGCCAAGATGTGAGTCTAACTTCTGCTTTGTGTTCTTAACCGATTTACTTCTTGGTATGAATCATAGCAAATAACCTTTCTCTGTATTTTAAAATCTTTAAATGAAATATCTGAACTACAAGTTTCTGAAGAAGTTTAGAGCCTAAATGTGTAAGAGGACTATTGTTGTTGTGTTGTTGTTATGTGCCCCCGAGTCGGACCCGACTCATAGCGACCCCTCCTTGGGTTTCCGAGGCAGTATCACTATGAAAGTAGATTGCCCCATCCTTCCGAGGAGTGGCTGGTGGGTTTGAACTGCCAGCCTTCTGGTTAGCAGTCAAGTGCCTTAGGCACTATGCTACCAGAGCTCCTTAAGAGGACTATTAGGACCCATTAAACAGTGGCAAATGAAAGAAGGTAGCTTTTAATCACTACTACTTGTGTGTCTGTCATATATTGTCTTGTGTGTTGCTACGGTGCTGCAAGGTATGCCACTTGTATTTCAAATACCAGCAGGGTCATCTATGGGGGACAGGTTTCAGAGGAGCTTCTAGACTAAGACAGACTAGGAGGAAAGGCCTGGCAATCTACTTCCAAAAATTAGCCAATGAAAACTTTATGGATCACAACAGAATATTGTTCCAATATAATGCTGGAAGTTGCGGCTCTACAATCACCGATAACTGGACTTGATTACATCAAAGATATTGAAGATGGTGTGGGACCAGGCAATGTTTTGCTATATTGTAAATGGGGTCACTATGAGTCGACACAAAGGCAACTAACAACAACAAGCTTTTAATCAAGTGTAAATTGTGTGCTACGTATCATGAAAATGCCTTGGCTGGCCCCAGGAGAGAAACGATGAGAGTTCTGCAGTTGGGTCTGACTCGATGGCAAGTAACAACAACAACAACAACTTACAGACATTTCCCCAGAGTATTTTCTTAACTATCCTTCACTTGATTGGACATATTTTCGACTTTTATTCACATCTGTGAATTATTTATAAAATTTGAAACACTGGGCACAAATTACATATTGCTTTATATTTTTTCTCTCAGTATTTCATGCTTATTAATTCCACAAGAACAGGAATAATATTTGATACTTTGAGTGAACACATCCAATCTATAGAGCAGCAGAGCCAATGGGCATTGCACTCCGTTAATACTGGCTACAGTTCAGAATACTGCCTCGGAAACCCAAGGACGGGTGGCTATGAGTTGGATTTGACTCATTGGCAATAGGTTAATGGGTCCAAGCTTTTAAACAAAGGAATTATGGGTAAGGGGAGCTTGAAGATAGAGTTGGGACCGCCCATGGCTTTGTTTTAGGGATTACACTTTCCCCAGCAGAATGCCTCTTCCAGCACTGAGGGGAGAAAGATCTAAATGACCATTCCACAACCAATTACCCATTCTCAAGCACCTCATTCTGCCATACATTTGGTCACTGTGCATTGAAACCAACTTGATGGCATCTGAAAACAACAACAATAGGCACCTCAAATATAAGGAAATTTAAGTGTCTGCAAATAAATATCCTTATTTCTTTAGGTCTACAGATCCAAACTATAGGTTATTATTCAGAATTAAAATTCTCAGCACCCCCCCTGTCTCCTTAGAAATTATTTTAGGTCTACTTACCCACTTGATTGTTTTGCTTAGTAGGTCTAAATTTTGCACTGAAACAGAGTTTAAGAATAATTTCAGCATTCTTGTTGAATAAAGTGATTTTTTTTGGTGTGAAAAAAGCTTCCACAGATACATCAGCAATACTCTGTGACCTGAAAGACACAAATGGAAATCAATACATGGCTGTTAGAGTTGAGCTACATTTAAACCCTTACATGGAGGACCCAGGGCCAGCATTATCAGATTATTCTCCTCATGCTCTATCCAAGCCCTTTGTTGTTGTTGTTAAGTGCCGTCAAGTCGTTTCCGACTCATAGCGACCCCATCTTCAGCAGAACGAAACACTGCCCGATCCCGCGCCAGCCCCACAATCCCTGCTATACTTGAGTCCATCATCGCAGCCACCGTGTCAATCCATCTCGTTGAAGGCCTCCCCCTCTTTCGTCGACCCTCCACCCTACCAAGTATGACAT